AGACTGCAATACAGCCATGGACAGCCACAGCTGGAAACAGTCATTCATCAGGTGTATCACATCACTGCGGAGTCAGCCACGTTGCCTCTGCTGAGTTACTGAACTGGCATTCCTATCACTGCCACTATTAGCAACTCAAGTACTGAGTGCTACAGGATATTGGGACTCTCACAGACCAGCTGTGACTGGTAATTGTTGCTCTGGGCTACAATCCACAGACACACATCCTGCAACAACCACAGTCCCAAAGAGCTCATCATCCAGAGAAACGAGAGATTCAGGGAGGGGAAACAGAGACAGTTTATTTGACAGTTTATTCATGAGGAAATGGATGTTTCTATCAGAAGCAGAAAAGGAAACCTTTACCAGTCTCCCTCCCTCACAATATTCAGTGTATTGAAAAATAAGGCTTGTCCCTATTTTGTTCTGCCTAACAAGCACTTCTTGTTACAGTACTAAGCAATACATAAGGAAAAAGACTCCTGGATATCACACTATAAGGCTCATTGACTGGTTTTCTGCATCCCTCACACCCTTAAGTCACATCCATAATATCAAAAGCAAGCAGTTGAAAAAACTCAATCTGAATAACAATGAGCCCTTAGAAGAAAATTCAGATGCAGCAGAGGCATTCACAGAGCACTAAATCCCTCCAAGGCCCTGACCTGCTGAAGCATCCAGGAGTCTAATTCATGATGTGCAGAGAAAACAGAGGCATTCAGGTATTATTCTTTGTTGTCCAGCTTATTTTATGCCCCCACCTTCATGTGGCATTGTTGAAAACCTACGCTGTGAAGCCTACATGATCCTCACCCTCCCAGAAAAACCTGGCCACAAGGCCACCTACCATACAGGTGAAGATCTCTGTGTCCAAGTCACTGGCTCCTGACACATTGCTGCTGGTTAGGTCCAGTCTGGGCAACACCATGCTTGCCCCTTTTTTTCACTTCTATTTGGAACACTGCTTTCACAAAAGCCTGTTTTAGTTTCTACACACTCCTCGCCATCTCCTCCCTCCACTGTCTCTTGCCTCTCACAGCAAATGAATCAAAACCCAATTTAGGAATTTGTCAACATTAAGAAGTTTAGATGAAAACACAGATTGCAAGCATAATTTACTGCAGGTCAGTCCTGGCTCTCATTGTAGCCACGGGCATCTGCAGGAGGCATGAGCTGTCTTTGCACAAAAGTCTTGCTGTACACATGCAGTAAATTCAGTGCTTCCCAATGTGCCAGATACATTGGGTGTGTGCACACATGCTCAAAATGGCTCAACTGGCTGCAAAGTGCAATATAGCTACCCAGCTGAGAAAGGCTGTTTCATACAGACCTTCCTTAAATCATGGAGCCTTTGTGACTCTAGAAATCAGACATAAAGGATCACTGAACAAGATGCATGTAAGAAAAGTGGTATTTTAATTCTTTTGCTTCCATGCATTCCCAACTGAAGTTTCACACCTTAAGGATTACAGCAGCCCATTTGCAAAAAACAAACAAACAAACAAAAAAACAAAAACGAAAAAAACAACCCACCCAAAAAATTAAAGATGCAATTAAAGATGCATCTTAAATCTTCTTCCCCCCCCGAAAAAAACCAACCCACCCAAAAAATTAAAGATGCATCTTAAATCTTCTTCCCCCACAATTACTCTAGAATTGTTCTTGTGATCAGAAACAAAATCATGAGGGAAACAGAAGCAAATTCCAAACTAATCAACATGGGCAATCCTTCTGTTTTGAATTTCTATAAAATGGGGAGCTAGGAGGGTATTCATGTTTTGCTGTCACAGGACAGACAAATGGAACAAAGAATGCAACTGTAGAAATTGAGAGATCTATATCCTGAGAGAAACCTATATGTTGCAGCTCATAAGGAGCTGTAAACCACAGAAGTCCTTTTTCTTATGATAATCTGAAATAAGAGACAAAGGACAGACAAGCCTGGACAGAAGATGAATAAACATTAGCTACCAGCAACCTAAAATAAATGTCAAGTACTCAAATCAACTGTGGAATATGTTGCACACGACCAGTTTCTGCAAAGATCAATAAAATACTTCCTCATGGCAACTCAACTTTGATAGAATCGTCTCACGAGATTTTATTATTGCTATTTCCAACCTCGACTACAGCTTCCAAGGCTTCCTGCTTCGCTAGAACACACGCATCATAGTAAAAGTAATTAAAAACCCAATAAGCTTTATAGAGCTTAAGAGGTCTATTTCCTCTACACCACTGCAGAGACCTCCTGCCTAAGTGTGACACTCTTCAATCACCCCAAGCACTACTTCCCTGTTGAAGTCCTGTAACAGCTGAACAAATTATTTCTTTGATTCTCATGTCCTTCCATCACTCCTCCTTTCCCTCTCTCTCTTTCTCCCTTCCCTCCCTTCCACAAACAGGGAGAACAGAAAAGGAGAGCAGAGTCTTTATTACAAAACGATGGAAACATTTGAAGGGCCTTAGAATGTTCCAGACTCACTAGAGCTGTCCTAGAGCAGTGGTCTCCAATCTTTTTTGATGGTCCAAAAAGGAAAGATGTTTTGAGGACGCATCTCCAATATATGTATATTTATGTGTAAATTATATACCTGTCCCACTGTACTGCTATATTACGCACAATATAAAACATACATGAAAATAGAAATTAAAACCAGATGAGAACGATGAAAGAATCACCACTAGAACAGCTGCAGAGCACTAAGTCTCAGGAGTTTTGTTACCGAGTCTAGCAGAAAAAAAAGAGTTGGTCCAAAGCTGTTACAATGCAGCTACGGTAAGATGCTGTTTTATTTCTCACTATAACCCATAAACTGTGATCAGTCAAGGTGCTGAACATCAGCAGGCAATGTATCTGTGCTGCTTTTAAAACCTCACTTATGAATAAAGGTTCTCCACTAGATTAAGCTCTTCCACACACTAATAATACTTAACAACCTCTCTCCCCCTGAGTATTTCTACTTCTGGAGTTAATACCGGGTAACTTAAAATACAACAGTACACAATGCTTTGCTTTAGAAGCAAAGAAGACTGACTACATCCTTCTGTTCTTGGATATCTTCAGAGAGCACAACATACAAACTGATGCAGAGTTTACTGGACAGGCTTTACAGTATTTTCTGTCTTACTGATGACATTTTACCTTCCAGAATTTTATGGTTTTCAGTTGTATTGAAAAAATCTTTTTTGGGAGTATTAAAAATAAGCTGTTCAAACAAAAATATTTGTCTCTTTCAAAGCAGATTAAGGTCTAATCATTATTTTATTTTCTAAATCACAGCTATCAACACTGCTTGTCCCAACTCTGGCAAAGTTACAGGACTGCAAGAAACAGTGCACTGAAAAGCTGTTGGCCTTGGAGCACACAGAAGCAATCTCCACTATTCAAAGACTATTCTGTGCTCCCTTATTTATAATGGTGGCTTAAAGATGTTTAGCACTTAACAATACACAATAAAGACAAAGGCTTTTGTCTGTATTGCTTTATTTGTGTAAATTCAAAGAATTTACACAACTTTAATCTCCCAGTCCTGCAATTGCCCCTGTGTGGCTGGGCTGGCACTAAGCAGAAACACATGGAGGCTATGCATCAATTGCTACACAAATGAAACGAGTGGGTCATAAGTTCAAAACAGACCAAGGAAGGCTATTAAAACATGGAACCTCTTTGCATAGGGTGCTGGGGAAGATAAAAGCTTGTGCATTAAAAGTCTACTCTCTGCCCAGCTTCAGCCAGACCAAAAAAACCTCAACCAAACAAATGAGAGCTTTCAGCCTTGCACTCCACTGGAGGTGAAGAACTCTGTCCTCAACATCCCTCTTGATCCAGGAAATCACAACCCTACTACCAAAGCTCTGCAACTAGTATTGGCTTTTTCAAGCCCCCTAGAAGCTGTTTCTTGTCCTTCTCCCTCTTATAACCACAGATCCCATGTTTTACTCCTCAACCCACGCAGAGGCAAGAAATAGCATACAAAGCTATTCCTGAAACATTCGCACCTATAGGCACACTCTGCCCTCAACACCAGGGCCACAGCTATCTGTGGAAAACATACTTGCTCACATCCCTGCTTCATCTTTCTTTCCATTCAAAAGAACCTTTCAGTTTTTGCAAATGTACAATAAATCTCTGCTTCCTCAGCCAGGTCTTCTGCTTCTAATCTGCCCTCTCTCTTGCTAGGAAAGGATGTTTCAATTTGCCTTTCTGCTTCCCTTCTGTCAAAACATTACAGAACTCCTTGCTAGGTAACTATTCCTAGCTAGCAAGTTCCCAATTAGGTGATCTGACAATCAGTGACAATATAATCTGTTTTTCCTATCATGAGCAGGCTCTGCTCTATTAGCTGTGTCCTTATGATCAGGTCCATCACAGAAGGACCTTATTTTCCAAGTCCATATATTCTCTATCCGCAATCCAGGTTGCTGTCATACTGATACCTCAGCATGTACAGTGAAAAAAGGAAAAGACTAAAGATATAGGAATACAGCTTAGCCACAAGCTTGTAGTCTTTTAACCATATCTTATTAATATATCTATCTACCTGCATCTGTAAATATATTCCCCCGCTGCTTTTTTTTTCTTTCACCTGTAGATGCTGGTGGTCATTGGATGGGGGAGAGAAGGAAAATTTTTCTCTAAAAACTGTATCTACAGAGCAACATAACCTGTGCATGGAATAGCAAAGACAGGAGTTGCAAGAAACCCTTGTTTGCAAGAGATTTAACTGATTTTTAATACCATGAGTGTAGTAAACATAAAGCACATTTTTCTTTAACCACAGTTACTGCTTTTTCGCTTACGTATGATCAAGTCATGTGCATGTCATATAAAGTGACACATGCCTCATTTAGAGGATCTGGCTTTATGTGCAAGAACCAAACATATTAGTTGTTTCAGCAGTATATCCCCTAATGTCTACATCTCTGTGAAACTGCACCAGTATTATAATCGGCAACATAAACCACTGCAGAACATAAAAATTAACTTAAGTTATACTCACTGTAACCTGGGAAGCATCCATGAATTGTAGGCCAAAGTAATCAGTTTCCACAAGGTCCAAATGATATACAATCTGGTCAAACAACTCCTGTCCCTTTGCATTTTTCTGTAACAGAAAAGAAAGTTTGTTTTTTTGTGGGTGGGTGTGGGTTTGTTTGTTTGGGTGGATTTCTTTATAAGTTCAAACAGGGGAGAGGATTTGCACAACGGAAAATCATATCAAAATATTAATTCTATTCATTCTGATGAATTATATTGAGGTGTTTTTTTCTTCAAGAAAGATAGTGACATGTTTCTGTTTGCAGCTGTTCTAACATCATCAAAGGCACTACGATTCTTACTCAGCGTGTCATCTCAAACACGCAGGCATGGAAACAAAACTAACCCAAATCATGGGCTACATGTAATAGTAGAAAAGTTAGCTGACCTTAAAGCTAGGCTGCATTGGCCTGTGTACTTGTTCTAGTGTTAAGCCAAGAATTTAGATACCCAGTGCTTCACCTTTAAACACTAGAAGCAACAAAGCTTGGAGGTTACAGGCGGGTTGGAGGAAGAGGGAATAACAAACCAATTTTTCATGCAAATCCTGTCGCCTTACTTGGAGAAGGAAGTTTTCAAGTTTCTGAGCAAAAAAAAACCCCTTGGCTAAAAATACATGAGATGATCATAAATCTCAGTAACAGACTGAAGCTACAGGGGTATTTCATACAGGAAGGTACAGATCTGGAACCACTTTTGTTCCTGCTGTTCTTCATACACCTTTGAGGACTTTTTTTTCTTCCCTAATTTTTATTTTTTAAACCTCTAACATATTAGGCATTCACACTTCATCCCAAATTGTAGCAAAATGCACTGATTTCAGCTGAAGGAGAGCTAAATAGTTCCTTTAGTCTGGCCTTCTGCACAAAAGCAGCACCAATCATAACATGCATAACTCCTGTCCAGGATTCCAACCTGTTTAAAATCTGTCTTCTCCAACAAAAGCCAAGATGAAGAGTTTAAACTCTATATATTTTTCCAAGAAGGTCAAACAAGCTTAGGTGTAGGTAGTAAATTTAATCTGAGTTTTTGTGGTGGTTTGGTTTTGGGGTTTTGTTTTGGTTTGTTTTTTGGGGGATTTTTTGTACTAACAAAGCAGGAGCTCAGAAATAGAATCTTGTCAAATTTTAGGAACACATTAGGAGCTCCATTAAAACAAGCTGCATAAAAAAAACTTAAAAGAAGCATTGAATTATCATCTTAAGATACTTCTTAACTATTCTAGAGGGGCAAGAGTTGAATAATAGACATTCTTAATTGAAGTTCAACATGCTATTGAAAGCAGATGAGAATACCACAGCTTCTTAAAGCAGTGCCTTGCTAAGAAACCATCATATTTAGGAGTACAATAATTGCTATAAACCAAACAAAAAGTTTGCGAAAAAATATCCAGTACATATTTTCTCATATGTAGTAAAATTAGCACTTGTTAAAAGAGGCCAAACCAAAGCACAAAAGAATTTAAACTGATTCTGCTCAAATGAGGGAGGAAAAAACCCTCCAAAGCAATAAAAAGAAATGGCAAGATACAAGGAATTCACAAAACTAGGAAAAACTGATTTAATGCCTTATGATCACTCTATTGGTTGCTTGCTTTATGGCATTAACTACCAGTATGTTTATCTTCAACTGCCACACACCCAATAGAAACCGGAGAGCACGCACTCCACCTTCTGTACCCAAACAGTAGTTAATGTTCAACATGTGTGTTACACGGAGAATAGTCCTGCAGTGCACGGCTGGACCATAAAAATGCAGTATTACATACACAGCTGACAGAAGATTATAGCATTTAACTTGTCACTAAATGAGCTTTCCCAGCAACTCATACCATTTAGATTATAAAGCTGCTGCAGCCAACAAATTGCTGACAACAGATTTTATTTGAGATGTTACACTAAAGAAAGAGAGAAAAGTGACTCAACTCCTTTCCTCTGCTAACAGTAAGGGATGACCTGCTCTCCTCTCCTCTGCCTCTTCATTGCCTGACAACCTTGGGACTCAGATTGCAGACTGATAAATTGGTATTTGTGCACTGAATGAAATATGTGGTATCAGCAAAATATAAGGGGTTTTCCTCAGGAATTACATATGCCCACATGCATAGAAGTGGTCTCTAATGGAAAAAATGCCCATATTATGAGAAACTTTTGTTTTTCATGGTCTTTTCCTGCTCCCCTCCTTCCGGATAACATGGAAACTTAAAAATTGCTTCCTCTATCAAAACCTGGTACCACATAAAGAATATGAAACTGATTTCATATAAGAAAATTTTTGTAGTAATCTAATCAGTTGGATTTAACAAATCACACTTGCTCCACAGACCCTCTACTTGTGCATATTTTTAGAAGATACATGTAAAATAAAGCAACCTGAAACTAGGAGTATTTCACAGTTCTACCTTGCTAGACAGATGGTTCATAACTGTCAGATGTAAAAGACCTGCATAACTTCCATCTCAAAAAAGGGAGTACATGGCAACAAATATGATATACATACTATTATATATAGTTACTACTTTGTTGTTATGAAAGTTCTATAATGATAATATATCAGGCAACAGTGATATAAGGAAAGTTGCAAAAACCTTGTTTGTTTGGGAGGAGGGGGTTGGTTGGTTTGTTTGTTTGTTTTAAAAAACCCAGCTAAACTACTACCAGTTTCTGGTGGAGTGCTCCTTGGAACCCACAAGAACTTGTGTGAGCACCATGAAACCTGACAGTCAAATGCTGGGGGGGCATTTGAAATGTCCAGCTTACAAACAAACTACAGCTGCAACTCAATGTAAAACTGAACTAGCATGAGGCAGTAATTTGTGTCCCCTTTTGCCTCTTTGTCCTTGAAGAAACATAGAAAGACTGAACTACACTTGCAGGTCGGAAAGGTCTGTGAGAATAAGCAACTACTGAGAGAAAAGAGGGGGAAAAAAAACCCAAAAGAAAAAAGTACTTCTTGTCAGTCAGCCCTGTCCTGCCTGACAGTCATGCCAGTTTCCTCCACTCTATCCCAGAAGACTTTCTCAAATAACACCCCCGTCGTATTTTCTTTGGGACCATGAGTCACGGCATCAAAGAAAACTTACATTTAATGAGGTCTTATTGCTGGGTCCTCCTACAAGGACTCAAATCGGCACGAGCATGAAGCTCCTTGTAGAGCCACAGCGACAGCTACATGGCCCACAGCTCAAGCAGGCTAAATTTTTAGCTGCCAAAGACTTCTAGTCCCAGGGAATCTATGGAAACTCTTGTCAGCTGAAACCTGACAAAACAAAGATTAACTTCTCTAATTAGAAACTCTTCCAGACTTGACATGTGAATAGGCAAGAGGTTTTAACATGCTTTTAGTAGGCATGAAGGGAAGGGCAAATTCATCAACCAGGGACATTTTACACCAACTGGCTCTGTCTAAACAGGCTGCTCAGTGTTGATTTTAGCTGCTACACAGTTGTTTGAAAGGTTTTTGCCAAAGGGTAGGAAAAGGAGACATAGAAGCCAGCAAAGTCCCGGTTTAGTGCAGTCACAGTGCAAGAATGCCATCGATCACTCTAAGAGCACACACGGCAAAGCTGGAGAGCTTCTGCGCACACCTGCCCCACACTGACGTGCAGTATGTACCAACCAAGCACAGAGCATTACATGAACTCAAGTGGAGTGGCTGAAGTTGTTGAGTCATACTGGAGAGTTCAGATTACAGCATTACAAACGAACTATTAACAGATTTCAGAAACAGCTGAAGTTGTGTTTGGGAAAACAACCTGTCAAATGGGCCAGGAGTACATGAAATAACCTGCAAGTTGACAATTTTTTATTTTTTTTTTTAAAAGGAAAATAAAACTACTGCCAAGAAAAAAAGTCAAAGCTAATTAACTGTAATGTGTCCCAAACTGAATAGTGAGTAGTAGCAGAAATGAGAAGGTAGGGTAGATTTAGTTTCTTTTTCTAAAGAAAGCACAGGATTGTGTATTCTGCAATACGTCAAACATTTTTGCAGAGTAGGCTGCTATGACCTCATGGTCACAAATACTAAGTTTTAGTTTCTGGTGAGTTAGTAAAGGAGCATTTGTAGCTAGCAATCCTCTGCTGTGCAGGCTTGATACTCCTCTATTCCAATGGCATCAGCATTTCCTCTCCTTGGCATCTTCTGGAAGAGGGTAGCTCAGTGTGTTCTGCTCAGTCCTCTTACACCTGAACTGTTACTAACTCATTTTTCAAATCTACAACTAAGGCTGGTCATATTGCTTACTAATGAGAACTTGCTTTGCCTTTTAACTGTCACTGGCAATGTTGTTTCCCAGCATTTCAGACATACTACAGGCTAAACATGCATAAAGCCATCTGGGCTTCTAATTAGCCTTCATTCCTGGTGCTCGTTATCATTTATCCTTTCACATGCTTTTTTCTAGATAGTCAAGTCTAGATAGTTCAGCTCTGGGCCCCTCAGTTCAGGAAGGACATTGAGGTGCTGGAGCGGGTCCAGAGAAGAGCAATGAGGCTGGGGAAGGGACTCGAGCACAAGTCCTATGAGGAGAGGCTGAGGGAGCTGGGGTTGTTTAGTCTGGAGAAGAGAAGGCTTAGAGGTGACCTCATCACTCTCTTCAACTACCTGAAGGGAGGTTATAGCCAGGTGGGGGTTGGTCTCTTCTCCCAGGCAACCAACAATAGGACAAGGGGGCATGGGCTCAAGCTCTGCCAGGGGAGGTTTAGGTTAGATGTTAGGAAGAAATTCTTTACAGAGAGGGTAATCAGGCACTGGAACGGCCTGCCCAGAGAGGTGGTGGATTCACCATCCCTGGAGGTCTTTAAAAAGAGATTGGACGTGGCCCTTAGTGCCATGATATAGTAATTGGAGTTGGATCAGGGATTGGACTTGATGATCTTGAAGGTCTTTTCCAACCCAATCTATTCTATGATTCAAGCCCTCGGTTTCTCCAACATATTCACTTGTACTGAAAGAAAAGTTTTTGCATAATTTTAAGCAGAAAAATGCAACTCTTTATATTATTATAAATCTGTTCATTAGGTCCCTTGGGAAGACTGCGGGACAGACACTGCCCTTTGCACCTTGAAA